ATATTTTGTATTTTGTGGGTAACTAGCATTTATTTGGATAAAAATATGGGAAGCCTTTTGGTCATTAAAGCTTGTGGTAAAAAAGGAGAAAATGAGGTCAGAAATTGGCTTGTCTGTCTTTAGTAGTTAATGCTGATTAAAGAACTCAATTATCGCTGATGCTCTTTACCCTAGTTCTAAACAGAAACAAGAGAATAAGACACGGATGTCTTCAGAAGATGATACCTCTCCACCTGTGCAACCTCTTGTACTTAGCTTCTCGCCAGAGAAAACTGCTACAGAAGGAGTAGAAAATGCATTAAAAGAGGTGGAAGTACCAAACGAGCTGTCTGAAGTACAAAATCAGCTGGCTGAAGAGAAACAACCTGAGGTAAGAAATGACAATATATTTTCCTACAAAACTACTGGGTAAACTGCTTGAATTATTTCAAGGTAAGGGATAAGTAGGGAAACCACTTTGGTATATGTGAAGTTAGAATGTGTTAGAATAATGAAATAATAGAATATTCTGTGTTGGAAGGGACCCATCTGAATCATCAAGTCCAGCTCCCAGTCCTGCACAGGGCACTCCAGGAATCACACTAAACACTTCTTGAACTCTGTCAGGCTGGTACTGTGGCCGGTTCACACAGGGGAGCCTGTTCCAGTGCCAACCACCCTCTGAGTGAAAAACCTTTTCCTGCTATCCAACTAAACCTCCCCCAACTCAACTTCATCATGTTTCCTGTCACTCTTCATGAGAATGAAGAGATTGGTACCTGCCCCTCTGCTTCCCCTTGTGAGGATGTTCAAGACCACAATAAGGTCTCCCCATGATCTCCTCCAGGTTGAACAGACCAAGTGTCCTCAGCTGCACCTCATAAGGCTTCCCCTCCAAACCCATCACCAGAGTGTGAAGCTGTAGTTTATATGGCTAAATAACATTGCACAATAATTGTAGTTAAATTTAATTTTAATTTAAGTATTAAGAGGGTTACTATCTTCAGATTTAAATTTAACTCTACTTTCAAGTGAAAAATTGTTTTATGCCCCAAGGGACCTCTTATGCTTTCTTACCACATTTTCCCTCTACCCACTGGCAGAGTAGGAGCTGAGGTTTTTATACGGTGTGCAATGAATCCTGCATGAAAAATACCAAGTTGTAAATTAACACTGATCTGTGATTATTACAGCTGTATAAGCTAAATTGATTGCATCAATGTATATGAATGAAACTTGGTAAACAGGGGAGAAAAACGGAATTTTTTTTTTAAAGGCTTTACTGCTAGATATTGGAGAAGACAAATCTCTCCCACACACTTCTGAATGTGGAAGTAGACCTTTGATTGACCTTTCCAATACTCCTGAAGTGAGTAAGATTACTTCTCCAAAGCCTGTGTTATCTGGGCAGATAAAGGTAAGTTTTATTCAAATCATCTGGTGCAAGTTGTTAGCAGAAAAATGTCAACTGGCTGCAGAGCAGTTCCTTTGCCTGCAGAGCAGTTCCATAATACTGTAGGAATTATTTAATATTAGCTCAATATGATATACATAATTAGGAGCTCTTAAGAGAATGTCATGTTTAAAAACAATGTGTTCTGAACTAGAGCTCAGTGAGCAATCTGCAAATAGGAAAAGGAGGAGGAGGGAGAAGGAACAGTACTTAAAGCAGTTGTTACAGAATAAACCTCTTCTGAAGCAGGAAGTGAATGCTGTCTTCAGTAAAGTTGGCATGCTTATTCTTGTTTCACCTTTCTTGCATTTTCAGTTATTGGCAGCAACTCATTTTAGTCAAAAAAGAAAGGATGCCTCCTGTTCAGCTTCTCTCTCCTAATCCTCTCCTTAGCTAGAAGATTTGTGCTGTTGGAATCTGCTTTAAATTTTACAAGCATTTCTGGGCGAGTGTTTTTTATACGTTAGTGGCTTGAAGATAAGATGTCTTTAGATCATTGTCAGATGAATGCTGGTAACTATGAGCATGCAGCCTTTGACAAAACTTGTAGTTAGGCTCAACTGAGTATCAGACCCTTCAAATTTTGTCAAAAGAGGAGTACTGCAGAACTCTGACTTAGGGGGACATGTTCAGAGGAGTTCAGAAGTGCTATGTCCTGTCTGGATGGCACTGTTACTAGAATATGCATAGTAATGAAACTTGGAAAAGGCTTTTAGGATTTTAAGATAAGTGTGGGCAATAACTACCTTGTGATAAGCTTGTGCTAGTCTAAGAATGAGCATTAGGTTTTTAATAGGTTTTTAAAAACCTGAACCCAAAAGCTTGAGTGTGGTGCTTGTATTTGTCTTCTAGATACTAATAGGAACACTAAGCATGAAACATAATTGAGAATAATAGAGATTATAGCTGCTAGTAGCTAATGCACAACAGTTGACTACACTAGCTAAATTTTGCTGTTTTTCTTTCAGCTAATTGATTTGAGTTCTCCTCTTATCACTCTGAGCCCTGATGTAAACAAAGAAAATCTGGATTCCCCTCTACTCAAGTTCTGAATTTGAACTGAAATGAAGAATTCTTAGCAACTGTGATCTTTGAAGTGTTTTTGGTGTTATTCCTCACTCATAATTTTTTGAAGATGGCTGTAGATTGTCTGGACCTGCATTAACAAAACAGAATTCTAACAGTCTTGATACAGTCAGAGAGTGATAATGATTTTGTTCATGGATGTGCTGCAACGGATGTATTTAAACTATGTTGCACTAAGGCAAAAAATTTGGAATTCCAGTTCATGAATTGGAAACCTGCCTCCTTACTTTCTACCGATTGTGATTTGATTCCTTTCCTTTTATGTACAACGAAGTTTTATTTTAAAATAAATGAGTTGTTTGCTAAACCTATACAAAGTGGCAACTTTTTATTGCCTGCTTTGGGTAGATGTTTCTAGTGTTTCACTAACAAATGTTAATATGTAGCTAAAAACTAGCAGACTTCAAGGTGGCGTAGCAAGTTTGCAAAGAAACATGTTAGTATTGAATGCCAGTAGAACAAATGCAACAGCACCACCTGAATTTCTGTGTTGCAAAGCAGGAGATAAGAGCTTGGTTACTGCCGGATGGTTTAGTCGTAGCTGCCCCCAGCTGGGAGAAACTTCAGCTTATTCAGGCGTAAGGGACATGAAGCAATCTAAGGGAGATGTTTTCTTCCGGGTTTTCCTTTATGTAACTCGCGGGGCCGTGTCCCGTGGCTCAGGGGCAGTGGGAGGGGTCGGGCCGAGCATGTTGTGAGGGTTTTGGGTGGGCTGATGAAGGCCAGAGGCCTCCTCTGTCCCCTCCCGGCGCGCCCCGCTCGGTTCGGCGGGTGCCGGCCGGGCCCCGGCGCGCAGGCGCGGGCGGAAGCGGCGGCGGGGCGATGCTGGCGGCCCAGGGACGCCGCGTGGCCTGCGCCGTGTCCGGCGGCGTGGACAGCGCCGTGGCAGCGCTGCTGCTGCGCCGCCGAGGTGCGGGGCTGGGGCCGGGACGGAGGGAGCGAGGGCAGCTGGGTCCTGTCCTGTCCCCGCTCGGTCCCCGCGCAGCCGGGTCCGGCCGGCGCCTTCCCCGCTCTTGGCCGCCCCCTCGGGCCCCTGGAGCCGGGCCCGGCAGCGCGGAGAACCGGGCCCCGCGGGGTCCGCTGAACGGGGCGGGAGATGTGACTTTGCGTCGCTTTAGGTTGCTAGAAGAGCTTGGGTTAGCTGTTACCTAGAGAAAAAGCATAGCTATACAGTAACCGTGCTGTGTAAAGCGTGGCACAGGACTGCTCACATCTTCGGTAACGCAGTAACTAAAGGCGTTCTTGAGAAACAGGGTTTGTGTCCAGGCTGTAAGAATTCCTGAATCGTTCTTGCCTTCATTTCATAGGCTATCAGGTGACAGGTGTGTTTATGAAGAACTGGGACCCTCTGGATGAACAGGGAGCTTGCTCCATTGACAGAGATTGTGAAGATGCTTATCGGGTGTGCCAGAAGCTTGATATCCCGTTTCACCAGGTTTCCTACGTGAAGGAATACTGGAATGAAGTATTCAGGTAAAAACACTTTTATGATAGCTGGTCTTAAAGTATACCAGTATGTTATTGTGTTACAATGAAAAGTAAGAATGAAGAGATAATGAGCAAGGGCAATTCATTGCAGTTTTATCAATACTAAGAAAAATCCTTGAAGCCTGTTAAATATCAAGGAATTATTTTTTTCTCTCATTTGTATTTAAGGTCAGAATTTATATTTTAGTTTTAATATGTTAATTTTTTTTAGTGGGAGATTTCTCCTTGTGTGAGTGTGTAGAAATTGCTTTATTGCAGCTTATTTCTTCAGCTACTGATGTACTGGCCCAACCTTACTGTAACTTCAAAAAAAATTATTTAATGGGGTACTCTTACTATCTATGTGTGTAACTTACGAAGTGCATTTTACATAATGTGTGCTGAATCCAGTTTAGCACAAAATAATTGTGATCTCGACTTGCTTTTTTCAACTTACAACAAATCTGAAGCTGTTCTCTAAAGAGGGTGCTCAGATTCTCTATGAATTTGTTGCACTTTAAGGGAAGTTCTACATAGGAAGAGCTGAGAGATTTTCTTGGAAGGTAGGTCGAGAAGGGGCACTTTGTAACAGCGTAAAAGTACATAAAAATTGTTCCCTGATCTTCATCATCCCCCTTTAAGTAGTGCTGTTACTACCTTACATGAAACTGAGGAATAATCTGGTCATGCTATTTGTACTGCATGTTGAAATGACATCAAGCTGAGCACCAAACTTTTGGACAGTCTGTGAAGAAAACTGCAAAACATCTCTTTTCTAGGAAAGTTCACTCCATTTTTCCCCTTTTGATGTGAGAGAATGAGTAAGTGCTACAAAACTTCTTGGGGTTTATTAGTACAGTGTTTCCTAACATTCTTTTACAAGTGTCTTGGTTTGTTTCAGAATCCATTTTTCTTTACTGTTATCACTGATCTTAAATTTACTCCTCCTTGGATCTGTCTTTAAAGAGTTATTGACATAAAACACATTTTATCACAAGAACTGTTCCAGGTCTTGTATTTCCCATGGTTTGTGCAAAGCCTGTTTCAGTTCTTTCTGTCAGAGATGGAGACACCCTTCATTGCCCTTTCTCTGGTTCTGTGCTTTACTAGAGGGTCTGAATTGAGGGTGGCTTTCTGGTGACTCCTTTATAGAACTCCTAGGGTACCATAGGAGTACAGCGTGATCCAGCAAGAGGGAGGCAACTCTGGGTAGACCCAGGTGATTTAATTATTAATGAGTTGTTGAATTCAGAACTTTTAGGAAGGAGAGAAAATAAGAGATATATTGCTTTATTTTCTGTTTTTTAATGTAGTGTCACATGGTAAGGAAAAAGCAATTGATTCTGTTTCAGATGGAGAAAAGTAAAACCAGTGCACTCGGGAGAAAAGCTTCCAAACATTGGATTTTTGAACATTAAAATCTAATGGGTATTTTATTTCTAACATAAAATGTTTACAGTGACTGTGTCTTCTCATATTTAAGCATTGTCCAGTTTCTGATAGTATTATGTATGTTGATGATTCTGATAGACATTTGGGTCTTTATTTTACAGTGACCTCTTAAAAGAGTATGAATTGGGAAGGACGCCTAATCCTGATATTTTGTGTAACAAGCACATCAAATTCAACTATTTTCTGCATTATGCTATGGATAACCTTGGTAAGGCATTTTCAAGTGTGTCAGTACAAAGTGTGTGCCATGGAAATGCTTAAAGGAAACAAACTCTTTAAAAGGTGGGGAAATACATGAGTTCATGTGCATGCCTAACTCATATCTCTGTAGCAGTGTGTCAATAATTGCAAAGAATTTTGTTTTAGGATTGCTTTTACATAAACATGGAATGGTTCAGGTTGGGAGGGACCTTTAAAGGTCATCTGGTCCAGCTCCCCTGCCCTGGGCAGGGATGTCTTACACTAGATTAGGTTGCTCATATGTAGGAACAGATTTATTTCAGAGACATGCATTGACCTGACTGTTAAGTTTTACATTCTTAGGTGGTCCCTAAAGTACAAAAGCACAAGTGCTGGCATGCTGGTGAATAGTTAGCATTATTTAAATAGCAGGAGTACAATTATTGGCAGTATAAGACTTCTCTACAGGTTTTCTTCTTTCATTGCTTTCTGCTTTTCTTACTGTATGTTTGCAATTGTGTTTGGAACTGTGGGTTTCAAGTTTGAGCCTTTATGTTATGTTTGATTTTTCTTCCCTTAATAGGAGCAGATGCAATTGCTACTGGGCATTATGCCAGGACCTCACTGGAGGATGAGGAAGTGTTTCAACAGAAATATACTAAAAGACCACAGAAGCTTTTCAGAAACCGTTTTGAAGTTAGAAATAGTAAGTTGTGTCTTCATTTCATGTTTTGTCCTACATATGAAAGAGAAATTGAAACTAGATTTGGTGTCACAGAATCAGGGATGTTTTTTGCCTTACACACAATGATTACAAATTAAACCCCAGCCTTTGTAGATGGTTGGTTGTACTAAACAAGGTATTTACATTACTGAAAATGACCCTGACTTGTCAAGCATTAAATTTTCTTGTTTTATGAGTCAGATGAATGTCTCCCATATATGGTGAGAAGCAGGCTATACCCAAAGGGAAAGAAACTTGTAAACTAAAGCTATGCAAAGCTGCCACAGTCATGATTTTACATTACAGATTCCCTGCTTCCGTTTGTCCACCCCTGGACTTACAGGGACTTATTTGTTTCTTTGTTTTAATTTTACTTCTGGAAAGTTGCAATGGCCTCAGCTGGACCTATGGTCTATACATGTGAGAGGCTCTGATTTACAGAAGTTGTGTTTTGTGATGGGCTTCCTTGCCCCGTGACTGAGATTTTGTATCACCAGTTGTGGCTGAACTATTGGCCTGTAGTTAGTGTTTGAGTCAAGGAACACATAAGTAGTGTTTGTACAACAGCAGAGCTATTAACTTTAAAAGAGAGGGGGCAGAACATGATTGAAAAACTGGACCACTTTTATTTCATCTGGATAATCAGAAGATTTAATCTATTTAAAAAAAAAAAGTCAGACTAATCTCTGAGCATTGGTAATAACTCCTCTGATTGCTCAAATAATTGATTTCTAGTAGGGTGATTTCAGGGCAAAACAGTATCTTTTGAAGAACAGTATATGCCAAAGTATTTGAATCTTCATTCTCTCCTTCAGAGGAAATGTGAAAGTTGTTTTTTGTTTTTGTACTGGTCAATGTCCTTGCCAGTGACACATGCACTATTGATACAGATGAGGCAGTGTAAGTCTTTGTAAGATTCTGCACAGTACGAAACCAGAATCTTCTAGATCTTTTTAGTGATGAGAAAATATCCAAGTGTTTTCATTAGATCTTGAAAAGTATGTAAAATACTATATCTAACATGCATTTGAAAATAATAAATCAGAAACATTGATTGTCAAACAAAATGCTAAAGCAATTTGAACTATTAACAGTAATTATGTTGAGATGTTTTATGTGTTTCACTTTGCAGCTGTGAAACTCCTTCAAGGGGCTGACCTCTTTAAGGACCAGACCTTCTTTCTAAGTCAGATTTCACAGGAAGCTTTGAGGAAAACCATCTTCCCTTTAGGGGATTTAACAAAAAGTTTTGTAAAGAAGATAGCAGCAGAACATGACCTTCATCATGTGCTAAAGAAAAAAGAGGCATGGTAACACTTAACACTGTTTTGATTTATATTTCTCCATAAAACAACTTTACTGAACTTTCTGAACTTCAACCTGTGACAACCTGTCCGTTTCTGATAGAAAAGAATAATATAATAGGTTGGGAAGCATTTATCATAGCTGGCTACTTCCTTAAAAGTACTTTTAGGAGCTTGTGGTTAGTTGTGTATTTCGTCTGCTGTTGTATCTCAGAAGAACTAAGATGAAGGTGAATGTGTAGGATGCTATGAGCCTAAAGGAAAGCATCCTCTATCACAGCAAGGGGAAAATCTTTGTTCTTTATTCTCCATAACTTTTAAGAGCTTCCTCACTTAAAACTAGTTCTCAGTATGTCTTTAAAAATTGGATCATACTGTTTTTCCACAGTTACTATTTTTTAAAAAAAAAAAAAAAAGAAGTTATGTTTCTCTGAGAACTAAGACTTCATGAGTTGATCTTAAAACCTGCTGATGCTGCCTTGATTGCTTTTCATGCTTATATTAAACCTCAGTAAATGGGTGTTTGAAGAATGTCAGCAGTAACTGGAAGGAAAAGAAAAGCCTATTTGGTTCTGAAAGTGTTTTTTTTCAAGAGATGGACCATCACTATCATTTTGTTGCTTTTGTACTTTAATATGAAAGACACTGTTTTTAATATACATACAATCTAGTCACCAAGGTTAATGTATTTATTGAACAGATGTTCTACTTCCTATTATCCCTCTTAATTCTATGCTTACAGCTCTCACTGATTCTCTATAAAATTAGTTTACCTGTGTTGCAGCAGATGTTATGGATTTGCTTATGAAATGCTTAAGATAGTTTGGGATACACAGGAAGAAAAAAAATCTTGGATAGATCATTAATAGACATTATTTCAAATGTTTTTCTCTGTTTTTGTGTATTCAATTCCATGTTCCTTTTTCAGAGTATGGGGGTCTGTTTCATTGGTGAAAGAAACTTCGAAAAATTCCTTCTTGAGGTGAGCAACACTAAATCTCTGACAATCTTTTTTCTGTTTTGATGTTCAGTTTTTAAAACATTGTCTATAGAAAAATCTCTATCAGCTTGTGGCCTACTGTAAGTAGCAGTGTCCTACCTCCCTTTGCAGTCACAAGCCTAGTTAGAAGCTGACTCCCACAGCCTGCAGGAAGTATCTTGCCCCTCTTCCAGATGCCACTCATTTTCTGGAGCAAAAGAAGTGAACATGCACTCCTGTGCCTGCCAGGCTCTGACAAATAGCTGGTATGTGAGAGGGACAGAGTGCTGGATCCTGCTGTCTCCTGACATACATGAGGATAGGGGAGGTGAAGTCTAGAATTGCTGCTCATAGGGACTGCCATTTCTGCTTTACTCTGAGAGCAGCGTCAAGGAGGAGTCAGTAAGCTGCTTGGGCAGAGTTTGCTTCTTGAAGAGTTATTTTTCAGCTTTGAGAGTTTGTAGTGACAGAATCGGAAATATACTATGAGGTTTTCTTGGGCTGTCTTGTGACTTACCTCTTCCTCTTTTTTAGTATTTGGAACCTCAACCAGGTAACTTTGTTTCCATAGAAGATAAGAAGGTGATGGGAAGACACAAAGGTAATTCACTAACCCACCTTAATAACTTACTTTTAGATAAATGAACAGTATTTTGGGAAATTCCAAAGGAGTCTATAGGTTTTACCCAGTTTGTTAAACCATGGAAAACTTGCTGTGTACAATAGTAGAGCCTTGAACTACAACTAATTCTTGGTTATTTATTCTGGAATGCAAGAAAGTAAATAAGTTTTAGGGTTACTCTGTTGGTACTAAGTAGTTGTTATTTTAATACCAAGAGACCCCTGTTCACTTAATTCCTTCAAAATGACTGTGCTTCAGTTCCATATTCTTTAGGACCTAAAGTTTGCAGAAGAAAATGCACCTCAGTGATGCATAGCAGGACATCATAAAATATGGGCACCTTAACTTTTCCTTTTCTCTGTGTGTTCTTCCTTTGCTGTCCTCAGTTCAAGCTGCCAGAAGAGAGTTCCTCTCTCAAGTAATTTATGATCATAGATTATTATACTGGTACATAAAAGTAAGGGAGACTGGTGAGACTGAATGGTAGATAATCCACACAAATTGAAACTGAAATAAGTAAATGTATGTCTTTTATAATACTTAAGAATGCCACAGTTGAAATGGATTAATTTGTAATCTTTAGTTTGCATTTCAGGTACAGATGAAATTTCAAGTAGATGTTAGTTTAGTTTGTGGCTGGCCCTCTTCTCTACACCTGCTTGGTTTGTTATTCTTTATTTAGCAGTAAAGTTTTGGGCAAATGATATTAATGTGTTCTTCTGAAAGGAAAAGTTGCTAGCATCATTCCATTTTCATATTTCTTTAGGTTGGTTCCTCTTCACAATAGGCCAGAGGGCTCGACTGGCAGGCCTCAAGGATGCTTGGTTTGTTGTAGACAAAGATGTCAGCACTGGAGATGTCTTTGTGGTGAGTTAATTAACACTGGGTTTGCAAATGACTAATGCATGCATTTTGTGACTGCTGCAGTATGGAACGTGAGCCTAACCTGGGCAGAATTCTTGGCTCTCTTCTTGGGGGAAACAAGAACCAACTAGTGTAGCATCAGCAGATGTGAAACATCTTTTCCAAACAGGCTTTTCATGAGCACCAGATTGTTTTAGATTTTGGCACAGAGCTTTTCCAAGCTAAGAGCAAATACTGAAAAGAATCAGCCAATCTCTGAGCTCTCATTTTCTACTCTAAAGCATGAGAGTTTTACCTTAGTAATTATGTGTGGTTTATAAAATGTGTATTACCTTGGTTTATGATTTATTGCTGCTTTGTTTTTCTAGTAAAAGAACGAGGAGCCAGTGACACAGTTTTATAATTTTGAAAACTGAGGCAGAATATGTATGATAAATAATAGCTAATTGGTGTGTTAATGGCTAATCATATGAGGGGGTGCAGAGTTCTGCAGCTTGCTGACATTGATAATATTTCTTCCTCTTAATGCAGTTGTTAGGCTTCCTGGATACTGATGTGATTATAATGAGGTGTTCTGCTGCTTGATGATATGCCAGTGCAGGGAACCATAATCAAATGACAATGAGAAGAAACAGACAGGAGCACTAAAAAAAATTTTTATGTCCTGCAGTGAGTTTGTCAAAGGCAATGCCTTTGCTGGGGAGGTGTTCATTTGGGAAGCTGGAGAAGAGGGAGGTAGCATCTTGTGGAGGTAGGATAAAAAGGGTCAGATTTCTGAACTCAGCCTGAAGAAGGCAGAAATGCAAATGGAGGGAAAAGCATACAAGAAGAGAGATAGGACTCTGAAAAGTAGAAGACTGACAAATCATTTAGGCTTTCTTTAGCCTAATTTAAGTGCTAATAAGTGTTTGCTTTCTTGCTTATATTGCCTTCATGTTGCTATGGCTTGATGCTTCTTCAGTATTCCATGCTTCACTTTACAAGTTACATGCTCTTTGGCAAAAACATCAGCAGTAAATAAACGTATTTTAAGGCACCATCAGGAGATCACCCTGCTCTGTACAGAGACCTCCTGCGGACAAACCGAGTGCACTGGATAGCAGAGGAACCTCCGGCAGAGCTCGTTAGAGAGAAGATGATGGAATGTCATTTCAGATTTCGGCACCAGATGGCACTGGGTAGTCAAGCCTTGTTTTTCTTTTGTCTTATTCTCGTGAAACTCTGCTATTGTGTTCATGTAGTTCTGCAGTAATAGTGGATAGGTTTTGGCTTGGCCTTCCTGTTTCTGCAGTCTTACAAAACAATTCTGTGCAGTAGTATCTTGCCTTAGATCTGTTTAGCCTTAGATCTGTTTAGTGTCTTCTCTAACATGAATATAATGGCTAACTGTCAGGTGTTGGATCATTTTCCACTCTAGTGCCTTGTGTCCTGACTCTAAACCAAGATGGGAGTGTGTGGGTAACGCTAGTCAAGCCAGCAAGAGCTATCACACCTGGACAGGTAAGTTATTAGAAATAGTTTTCCTTCCATTTTTGTGTTTTACCTTATCTGGGTAACAAAACAGAGTAGCTTTTTTATTAGCTGGAGCAAAGTGATTAATTTATTTGCATGTGTGAATGGTTAGCTCTATTGTTTCTAGTTCTAATGATCTGTTATTATCTGTATAGTCTAAGAAACTTGCTTACAAATTTTAGAAATACATGGAAGCATCTCTGGTAATCAGTTGTATATGCAGAAATGGAAGCTGTTGTTTGCAGTAAATAGATTTTAAAAGGCATTCATTTGGGAATTGCCTGCTTAATATGGGTTTAACATTCAAACCTGTTTAGTGAGACTGGTGAATTCCATTGTCCTGGACAGAGCTGAGGAGAGGTGCTGTGCCTAAAAGGGATGCCTTTTAACATTGCCAGTATAAAGATACTCCATCACATTCCAGCACACTGGCTCTCAAGCATTCCTTGCATCCCTTCTCCCAGCATGTATTCTACCCACCCTTCCCATACTTGGGGGCCTGTGGGACACATCAGGAGGGAAATTACCTGAGAACTGTTTGTAGTGGAGAGAAGCTGAGAGGAATCCAGACAGAGCTCAGGAGAGGCTCCTGAGTGCCAGGAGTTGCTGAGCCTATAACCAGGCTCTGTAGTGCCAGGGAGTGAGACAAGGCAGGAGGTCTGGGCTCCCCTCTCCTGCAGGAACCTGCTGAGCAGGGAGCTCCAGTTGCCTCCTTGCAGATGGTCTGCTGCCATAGTTCTTGGTCACCTTCCTGTGTTTACAAGTGCCACCATAGGCTGGGCACAGTTTTCTGGGGAAGGTCCAGTGAAGATGCAGATGATGTTATGTATGTCATCCCCTTTGGAAAGGAAACTTCCCAGCACAATCCATTCCACCTCAGTAACTGAAGAGCTTTGTGATAGCCTTGTAGAAGCTCATGATGAAATTTCCACCAACATGTTTATAAATTTACACTCATGTGAGCCTACAAATCCTCTATAATTTGGGGTTTTTTGTTCGTTTTGGGTTTTTAAGATTTAGACAGAACAGATATAAATTGCTGTCCAGCAGGTTTTGCACAGCCTGATGTTTCTCACCATGTTTTTTGCAGCTGCTACAAAGACTCTCTCTGTGTTTATCTCCTAGTTTGCTGTGTTCTACAAGGGAGATGAGTGCCTGGGCAGTGGGAAGATCCTGAGGATGGGTCCATCCGTGTATACCTTGCAACAGGGCAAAAACCGAGAGGAGAGTCCAAAGAAGGAAGAGATTGACAAAATAGAACCAGCAACATAACACTTGGGACTGTTTATTGAAGGACTTGGGAGAATTTGCTGCCTGAGAACAATAAAAACTATAATAAATGTGTTTCTTAGGGCCAGTTAACCAGAGAGTCCCAGCTCTTGACTGTTAGCCCTGAAGGAGTTTAAAACTAAAGCCAGTCTGGTGCAATTTTGTTGGACTGTATGGTGCTGTTTATATTAATCCAATCAAGGGGTGTCCTGAAGTGTTCTGTAATAGTAGTTACACATACAAGAATTTTAATACAAAAATCATGTCTGAAACAATAAATTTATCTCTTATGCATAAATGAAATGCTTTTTTTCCCTTACTTAAAGGCACCTGTCCCCAGTAAAGTACATAGTTATTTTACACTAAACGTATGTTTGTGCTTTGAACTCTGGAAGAAGAATGAATGTTTAAGTTCAGCAGTTTATAAAACACACCAGTGATGCAGGGAAGTGATGTGCCATTCCCAGCTTCAGCACCAGGAGGCACCAGGGCATCAAGGTCATCTCTCCCAGCAGTGGGCAACATTGTCGGGAGATGGTGGCAATTAGCACATCCGTAATTGTGAGTTTCTCCCTTTTGTGTTAGATTTTTGCTGAGCCAATCCACTTGAAGAATTGCCCCTCGTGGGTTTGCTCAGGGCAGGGATAAAGCTGCCCGGGCATGTCAGCACAGTCATGGGCCGCCTGAGAAGCAGCACCTTTTGGAGCCAGACTCTCACTGGGGCTGGGCACAGACCATGGTACAGGTCAGGCCGGTGACGGCCCTGGCAGCAGGGAAAACACACACTTATTTCAGGTCAGAGTTCAGGTCCTGCCTGCCCTCTTTCCCCTGTGCCACACTGTGCCAGTCATCTGTTTCCTGGTCACTCAAATTTCATCTGGTTCTTGCATGGGTAGAAGTAAAAGGGAGATTTTTTTTTTCTCTTGAGAACTAGTACCAGATTCTTACACTTCTTTGAATATGTGAGGGTTCTGATGAACACTGACTTTTGGGGTTTTTCTTTTCTAAAATGTCTTGCTTTTTACTGCAGGCATAGTACTAGGTACAGAAACTTGAGAATGCAAAAAGTGAATGGAGTCCTCATTCTATGCAGGTTTACAGCATACAGAGTAACTTCTTCAATGCAAAAGAGTTCCCAACTCATTCTGCAAGCTTAAGGTCCTAGAAACAAGGAAATACATGGACAGATACCCCTTCAACAGACCCTACCTGGAGAAATTAAATTTTTTCGTGTGGCTGCCCTGCTCTGGACTTTGATAATTCAGTTGAATTTCCCATTCAACAGCACCATCTTTTGAGGAGGCTCCCAGGAAAATACCAGTCTTGTAATTACAGCATATCGTCCCTGTGGTGAAAAGCAGCAGCAGACTTACTTCCAGTAAGAAGATTCATCAAGAGAAAAGTGACCTGGCTGCTCTGTCCTGGATTTCTCTGGAAGCACTGTGGGGGCTCATGACAGAAATTCCTCTGGTGCTTTGCATTCTTGCAGGGCTCCTGAGTTTGTGTCTCTGGGGTTGCTTGAGCTGGATGTAGTCTGCAAACCACGTTGGTGGCAGTTCTGGCTGGCAGATGGGACATCTGGGTTGCATCAAAAGACTTCAAGTTGGACTCCTAGACAAATGGTGAATTCTTCCTTTTCTCTGAGAATGTCCTTAGGGAGAAAGGAGACTCAAGATGTATGTAGCACTGACTTGGTGGAAGCCAGCTCATCCTTCTGTGCATCCAGTTCTCTTTATTTCAATGAAATTTGATCAGAGCAGAAACAGGAAGTTCAGCCACGTCCTTGGGAGCAGGGAGGATGCCCCATGTGCTCCTCTTCCCTCTTCCCTGTGGCAGGTACTGTAGAAATTTCCTCTGCCTCCCAGTCTGCTGTATTCTGCAGGGCTGATGAACACCAGCACAGCAGGAAAATCCTGGGCTGTGCCCACTTCTCAGTGCAACACAGGAGGAGAGACTGAGTAAAAACCAGTGATGGAACATTTTTCTCTCATTTGAAGGACTTCAGTGAAATTTGCATTTAAAAAAGGGTAGCGCTGATCTCTGGAAATCTGTCTCAAAGGCTATGTCCCCAGCCCTGCTGCAGCTCCTGCTTGGTGGCAAAGCAAACTCAGCTGGTCTAGTATGGTCTCATTACACTGGATGAGGCTTTGTATGAAACTATAAACATCAAAGAAGGATGGACTGTAAACATAAAATGGACTGGTGTGCAAAAATAGGATAACTAGCCATGAAGCATCTGGTGGATTTCAGATTGGTGCTGGATTAAAGGTAGTTTTTATTTTAATCTGTTTACTTAACTGCTCTTCACAGATTTTTATCTCTCCTCTCTGGGAGTACATGAAGGACTCTATAGGCCATGTTACACCAACGGCTCCATGGTTAGCAAATTTGCTATATGTAGTAAAACAGTGTGATAAATCTATTGCAAGTTTGAAGGTTTTCAAGTGTGGCTTTTAAGTTGAGAATCACTTTATGTACCATTAGTACTTATTCATATAGTAACACCTTTAGAAATAAATCAGAATAATCTACACTGGGTTTAAATATTAAATGTGTTTTATGGTATGAGATTGTTACACAGTTAGTTTTACACCTACATTTTTGGGGTGAAGGAGACACAGCACAAGAAGAATCTATGAACTGATTAGTAGCCAGGTGTTGAGCCTTACTTAAGACACAACCATTTCATGGAGCAGAGACTGTCCTCATGTGTCTCCTCTGCAGCGCAATGTAACAGCGGTGCTTGAACTCCAGAGCAAGCAGGGGAATTCAATACTGAGAGGAGAGCTGAGACTGATGACTTTTAAGGTGGCTCCTGCAAGCTGCCTTCTTTCTGAGGCCAGAGGAGAGCATCACTGATGTGTCAGGATAAACATGTAAATACTGTCTAAGCACAATAGATTGATCCTGGGAATTAGAGCAGGCAGCTCTGCTCCAGTGCTTCTTGCCACAACTGTCCCACCCTTTAATTACAATGGACTTCCTGTAGCTAATGCTGCTGTCCTGAGCACCTGCCATGAAAAGCCAGCCCAGCGGAGGCCAGGGTGAACCTCCCGTGTTAAACCTCCTAAGAGGCATGTTTAACACAGATGGAGCCTGCAGAAAATCCCAAGGGATGTATCTGTGTATCACCACAGAGGCAAACTGAACACTCTGCAAGAAACAGGAGCACTTTGTTACTGGTCTGCTCCAGCAAAGGAACAGCCTTGACAGAAGCCCCTTTGGGTTTACCTCTGTTGTAATGGCACTGGCTCTGCCACAGATTTGCCCACAGGGAAGCGATGCAGAGGATGCTTGAGTCCCTGCCCTGTCACTGAGTGAACAAGAAAGAAAATACACAAGCTGCTTTTGGGTTGTGTTTGGCATAACCTAGATAAGATCAGCCAGGAAAATGTTTTTCCTTGGACAAGCCAGTGGAGAAAGCTGTGTCAGGAGTGTTTCGATGGCAGCTTGGTCTCTCCTGACCACCTGCTCACTCCCATTCATTTGGCCATTTTGTGCCAGCAGTGTGAACCCTAACCCCTTAAGCCCCTGAGCCAACTGGGCTTTTCCCTGATCTTTTCCATCCCTGAAACCTGTGCAGCTGTAAGTGGAGGAGTTGACCATTCTAGGCGTTTCTGCTTGTTTGATTCAGGAAATAAAGATGTAATAAAAGGTATTGATTTTTCTCAAAATCAATGCCTGCTTAACTGTTTCCCCTGGAAATTTGTTCACTTACCACAGCAGCTGCTGCTTTGTATGGGATTCAGTGGGATGTTCCTAACCTGAAGGGAATTAATCATTCACAAAGACCCTCTGCTTCAGCTGCCCTGTTTATACATGCACAGGACTTCCCATGCTCACTGTTTCCTTGAGTGTATGAATACCTAACAAAAACACAGACCCAAATCTACATTCTCCAGTTGGAAAGCACAGGCTGAACAAGCAAACAAGATCATTCAAGATGAACTTCTGAAGAGCTTCCATCAAATGACCAAAAGCAAGAGGTTTTCCTACACACTAGCCCAAGGGGTTGGTGGTTCTGCAAACTGTTATGTTTCTGGGGGGGAAAAGCCCCAAGCTGTAAGAAACTAACACAAAGAACCACCCAACTGGTTGTACTACAACTATTTTAATGATGAGAGTGGCAGCACCTGGAAAGCCAGAGCTCATTTCTGTTTCCTGGGTGCATCTCATGTAAAGTGACGGCTTTGTTGGGGTCAGGAGGGGCTCCAGAAGTCAGGGCATGCTGGGCAGAGCAGCCCCATGTTTTGGCTGGGGATGGCCCTGGGACACATGGCAGCTGTCAGAGACAGGGCACCTCTCACCTTAAGCACAGCTCTCTCCCTGAGAGAGAGAGAGAGAGAGCTGCTCCAACTCTGCAGTGTCTCCTGACCCAGTGCAGAGGCTGGGCTCTCACAGCATCTCCACGAAGCATCAGTCTGCAGGGAAATCAGTCTGTGTCTCCCTTCAAATAAAGGCAATATGTTCAGGCTGTGCAAAACTTGAGTGTGAAGGAGTGGATACTTTATTCAGAAGTATCTTTGAGCAGAGGGATGGCAGCAGCAGATGTCTGAGCAAGGCAGAAGGGGACACACCAGCACAGTACAGAGCTCTGGGGGGCTCCTGGGGGCACCTAAAAATGCTTTCAAGTATTTAGAAGACAGTCACGAATTAACATGGTCCCTTAGCCACACACACTTCAGATTAATCTAGTTTTATTTAATACAATGCCTGGCACAGTGGATAAAGGAGTGGCAGCAGCAGATGGAACATGTCTTCAGTTAATGGTTTGACACTGCCCCACACTCTATTCCCACACACAAAACACCGTCAGTGCAGCTGATGTTAATCAATATGAGGAAGGTGCAAAACTTGCTTGGCAAGAAGAGAAGTGCTACAAAAACCCTCTTGGACTCAGTTTTATTTGATATTTTCATTCATGGTTTGAAAAAGAAATAAAAGGTAGCTTGTAAAGGTTGCAGATGCTGCCTCCAGGCATCCTCATGAATAGGACTAAAATCCAAAATGACTGTGAGAAACTGGAGGACGGATCCAAAAATCAATAGACTAAAATGGAAAATGAGTCTACCAGAAATTGCTTCTTTTAGGGAGGAGAAGTGAGTTGCACATGTGCAAACAGGAGCATAAAGGCAGGGCAGAACCTCTGCAGAAGAGGCTGTGAGACCCAAATGCATCCCAGACTGCTCCTTGTGCTGTGGGTGGTGTTGGTGTGGACAGTGGTGATATCTCACCAGGGATGCTGGGGATCTCCTTGGCAGGAGCATCCTCTGCAGCTGGGTGGGCTGTGTCCCTAAG